AATAACTAGTGTGTAAAATAGGCCACTCTCACCAGTATGTTAGTGGTCCAGTAAGCTCCACACCTTAGATTTCTATAATGTCCTAGTGTTCAGCTCCAGCTGATGCACAGTGGAACTACTTTTACACATTCACTGATGTTATGGGAAAATATGTGAGTTAAAAAAAATACGTTTTCGGGGCATTAAAACATTGTCAAGTTTAGCATAAACATACCATGTCAGATAATTACTTTCAAGTATAACATATTAATATCATGCAGATTGGCTTTCAAATTATGGAATTGTAATCTTTATATGTCTCTTAACACAAGGCTGAATACATTTCTATGTATTTGACATTTCACCTTCCTGTCTGCTTACACCTGGGACATGGTTATGTTAATAATTGATTCTGGTGATATTTCAATACACTCATCTGAACTTCAGGACAATCACTATCTATCACATTCCTCTTCACACCACAGCCCCGGATATCATCCCATTAACTGTAATATGAAGACACACATTTAAAAGAGGAAAGCACAGCTTTGACAGGACTCTAATTCTAAACAGCCCCAGTTACTCATGACAATTGTCACACTGAGTGTGTGGGGCCATTTCCATTTGCGACAAAGATGTTTGGTGTAATGCATATGGTTGATATGTTGTCTCTCTCCAGTGCACAGTTCTATCATAAACCCCAGCGGTCCTAACGAATGGCACACTCACCGGACTATGTGGTTACATGATGAAAGTTATTCATCACATTTGAATTATTCTAATCAATTTACTGTCAGGCTAACTGCTGCGGCCGCCACAGTGACGCCGCCGTCAAGCACCGTTTGGTTGCAGCTCGGCGCTGCCCGTGAAATTTATACTTTCCATAAGTACTCATAAAACCTTCAAAGCATGACTGAGGGGGGAGATCACCCCCACCCCGACATCCTAGTCAAGACGACAGCTGCTGACAACAAAGTCACTCACAGACAAATAGACAAAATGATGTACAGAACTCTGCAATAGCAGAACAACAGCTTGTAAACACAATAAAGAGCAGTCGTTTTTTTCCCTCTTCAAGCACACAAATAAAGACGTTTAAGAACGAGATCTCAATCGCCAGTTACAGCGGGACACAAGGTTGTTCCACACACAGGATCAGAACAGCTGAAAGCATCCCTACCTTGAGTTACTTCCTAAATTTAGCAGTGAGCATGAAAGCTGCTCACCCCAAAACAAGGAGCCGGTCCAAACCCCCGGGACACTGAGATCATCCGGAGGCTTTATCTTCTGACCAGGAATCCCCGTCACACAGCTTTATGTTCAATGCGGGGAAAGATGCATGTTTGATGCTCTCATTTCTGAACGAGTTCCAATCAATTTTCAAATAAATAAAGATAAAGTATTAAAAGTTTAAACCTGGTAACACTTGCACACAGCTGTCAATCTAAAAGCCTTTAATGCTGGAGCTCTAAAGTTTCTCCCCTGAGATTTCACTCCACATGGTTATTTCTTTAAATCCAGTGCAGACACAAGTCAGACTTGTATGGCTTTACAAATTATAAATATATATAAAATCTACGAATTAAAAAAAATGGCTGCCTCAACAACAATTACTGGTTGTTTGTACTATTAGAGTAGAGTACAGATAGTTATATTATACATCATAATTGCATAATATATTATTCTATATAATAACTAGATATAAACAGTATGAGCAGGATAAGCAGTATTAAACGGTAACAGTGTTACCTTTCTTAAGAAAACAAATACATTTCAAATTTAATTTATTTCATCTCTTACGCACAAAGGCCCGAAAATGATTTTGATAAAACATGGAGAGGGGAGGGGAGCGTATGCTCATGAAAAGGCTGGTTACTGAGCACTGAAGCTGGGTCTCGTGTATTTACTTGATGTAAGGTTAATGGGAACAATATCAACAGTGTGAGGTCCAGTCTTTGTAACTTTCAGCTAGTCTTCAAGTTTGTTCTTTAAGAGAAAGGGAAAGGGTCCGTGGAAAGGATCAGGTTCATCATGTGATCTACATCCAAATGGTCGGTACATAGTCCAGCAGAGAAACAGAGGAATCCTACATTTTCAAAATTTCCTAAATTACATTACTCCTGTTCTGGCTGCCTTACACTGGCTCCCTATAGAACACAGGATAGAATTTAAAATTCTTCTTCTCGCCTACAAAGCCCTTAATGGGCAGGCGCCATCTTACCTTAAAGAACTCATTATACCCTACTGTCCTACTAGGGCATTGCGTTCCAAGAATGCAGGGTTGTTGGTTGTTCCTAGAGTCTCTAAAAGTACAATGGGAGCCAGAGCCTTTTCTTATCAAGCTCCACTTTTGTGGAATCAGCTTCCAGTTTGTGTTCGGGCGGCAGACACCCTATCCGTTTTTAAGAGTGCGCTTAAGACCTTCCTTTTTGATAAAGCTTATAGTTAGGGCTGATTAGATTCAGCCCCTAGTTTTGCTGCTATAGGCTTAGTTTGTCGGGGGACATCTTACTTCTTCCTTCTCTCTGTCTATACCTGTGTGCTCTCATGTTCCGATTAACCCAGCTTCCCCAAATGTCTTTCTTTTTGGTGTCTATATACGCCGGGATCCGGAGTCATGGATGATTCTGCGGTCCTGTGTCATGGATCGCGAGTCCTGGATCTTGAGTCGTGGCTGTGGTCCTGGATCATAAGTCCTGGATGGATATCCTCGTGGATTCATCTTCCTATTATACACACATGCATTTCCAAACATTTGGTCTACTTATTTTGCAAATGTATTATCTTTTCAATTTACACACGGCATCTATTGCACGTCTGTCCGTCCTGGGAGAGGGATCCCTCCTCTGTTGCTCTCCCTGAGGTTTCTCCCATTTTTCCCTTTAAACTGTGGGTTTTCTCCGGAAGTTTTTCCTTGTACGATGTGAGGGTCTAAGGACAGACGGTGTCGTATTGTCATACTGATATTCTGTACAAACTGTGAAGTCCACTGAGACAAATGTAACATTTGTGATATTGGGCTATATAAATAAACATTGATTGATTGATTGATTGATAAAGGTTCTTAAAGAGATGGGGAGAGTGATTTATTTTAGTCAATCGGTCTCAGGAGAGGCAGGGCAGACCTGTTTGGGCTCATTTTAAACTAAAAAGCAGCTCAGTCTCATTCATTCAAAGTAAATCTCTTTTGTAGAGCCAGATTTCAAAATCAACATCAAAACGAGGCGGACGGCAGCTCTGCTTTAATCTAAAGTGTGGGATGTAACCTCCTCCCCCAAAGGTGAAATAAGATTGTCACTCTGATGCGTCCGCTCCCCTTTTGATGAGCTGGGGAATAAATATGCAGAAAAGGGGGCTTCCTGGTGGAGGAAGAAGGGAGAGAAAAAAAGAAGCAATCAAGGATAGCAGCGGTCCCCGGCTGGACGATAAATCTCTGTCTGTTTCAATCGCCGCTGTGGCCGAAACGGTGTAAAATTCGAGCAGGGATGTCATCAATTTCTGTTAGCTTCTCTGTCTTCTTCTGGTCCGGTCGGCGGGCAGCCGTGATGGATTGATTTTGTCACTTGTGCTCAGTTCACAGTATGTTAACATGGAAGGGCAGAGTTGGGTTATGGAGAGAGGGTTATTAGTAGCTGGGCTGTGGCTGGACTTCTCTCTCTCTTCGTTTGAAGGTCTCTCACTCCCTGTCACACTGCCTTACACTCAATATACTCGCTTGCCCATTTATCACACCTCATTCTCTTCCACATCTGCATCCATTTCATCCCTGCGCACCCCCATCCCTCCCCTCTTATCTCTGCAGAACTCTCCTATCTCACCCAACTGTCTTCACCTGAACCACCTGACCTGTCAGCCTGTTCCTCTCCTCCACTACATGTGTCAACTGTCACCTCATTCCTATATATTTCATACATTTATACCACTGTTAACCATACCCCCCTTCTCTCAAATCAGTCGGACCCTGAACGGATAAGGCCGTTAAAATAAACACTAACTCTGTGACTGTTAGAAATCTGAGCCCAGCTTTTCTGTCACTTGTCGAATAGATTTGAGTCCAGTCAGGTAGTTTTGGGATGTGTTGATGTGTGTCTGCCTATCAACTGCTAATCAAATTGTTTTGTCAGGAATTCTCTCAGGTCTATCAATTTAAAGTAATCCAATTACAACAGAATAGGGCAAAAAGGTGAAATAAACTTAGATGGTCAAATCTCCACTGTGTCAATTCTGTGGTTCAAGTTGAGTTGTACAGTGTGACTCAAGTGTGAATTCTCCCCAGCTGCCCCCCTCTCCTCCGCGCTGCATCCCTGCCTCTCCCATCATCCACCTCCATCCACCTAGCTTCTCCATGGCCTCTAATCTTTATTTCTCTTCTTATCTACCTGATTTCTACGATTGTCTCAGCACACAGTAAGTATACCTTCATCCGCCCATCTATGTACCACCTCCTCACTGAGCTCTCTCATCACACAGACAGCAGGACCACTACAGAGCTGGTGTTACATAATCTTGAGGGAGCTGCTGGAACCAGCCGTACTTTATGATTGGAAGACTGAAGAGAGATGACATCATGAAGGAAGCTGAACCCTGAAGAGGACATTAGAACATCTTTATACACATTCAGTGATGCAAATTAGTCGCTTTTCGGTGCCTCCCGCTTTTTTAACGCTGATTTGGGTGACTTCTGAGAACCGAAGAGTTTTTGTTTTGGGGGGGGGATGTCCAACTCACTGACTGATGGACAACTTCTCACTTCAAAACATAGACTTTACTTGGGCGGGAAGCCCACGTATAGCCTATTAACGGCCGCCAAAGTATATTTTTGTATCCATCTGCGAGCACGACTAGTGGACAATGATCTCTCGCTCTACGCCTCCTGTACCTGTTCGCTCTGCTATCGCGTGAAGGGTCTGCTAACAAGCGACAAACAGAGGAGTCACATGTTGTTGCACATCAGTCATGCGCAAATGCGGCGGACTTCTGCGCTGTAACCCCGCTGCGAGGCTCTGGTGAACTATTACACCAACGCGGTTCCAGGGCCGGTTCGGAGCTAGAGCCTGATAAGCACCGGTGACGTCATGACGCAGCAGCAGCACCAGTCGGTTGCGTAAAGCAGTAAAGCAGTTAGTAAAGCAGACGTAAAGCAGTAGAAACATTTCGCAAGCAAAGAAGAAGAAAAACTGAAGCCCTTAAAGTCAAAAGTGTATAATATCTACCTGTAAATAATAATAAAAACCCTTGATTTATAACGTAAAATCTCTGTCTCCTCTTGATATGAGTATATTATAAAGAACAGCCAGTTAATTGAAGCATTATACAGTTCTGGGTGTTGAGAGCTGTATCCATAGAGCTCTTAATGTTGCTCTCAAAGTGCACCAGATTGATCCATTTAACTTCAATTTAAAGAAAAAAATCTTCCCGGGAGAGCATGCCCTCGGACCCCCCTAGAGGAGGTGAGGTCCCCCCACAAATAAACAGGATCATATGGATAGTATACTAGATAAGTTTGCACACTAATTATATATAACTATAATATATATGGTTAATTGCGGAGGACCACCTGTTTTGTGTGTCCCCCACTTCTTCAACCAAAGTTACACCCTTGATAATATCTACCTGTAAATAATGATAAAAACCCTTGATTTATAACTTAACATCTCTGTCTCCTATTGATCTTAGTTTTCGAATAGTCTTTTTTCACCATACGTGTGTTTGCATCACTGCACATTGGTAAACACAATTGAACTAACACTGCACCTTTTGACTTGTATACCCCAAGATTATTTTCCAGAGCCATAATTATTCAGACGCTTAAAGAGCAACTTGCAGGTTTGAGACACCAGTGAATAAATGTGTAGGAAAATGATGAATACACTAGATTTTCAAAAAAATTACAGAAATATACACTACAGTGACATCTGGCGTCGTTTTAGTAAGACATTTTCACTTCTGCATAAAAAAGCCTCCGCACGTGACCTCCCACGTGTGACGTAACATGGGGGAGAGCGGCCGGTCTAACGTATGAATAAACATGGATCACAATGCTAGTTTTGACCAAGCGGCAAACTCTGTGGAAGAGCCGGGACGCCAATACGGAAGTGGCACACACTGCAGTTCATATATTGGCCGATAGGGACTGACTGCAGAAAGGAGCAATTTCCATAGACCCCCATGTTAAAATGCCCAACTTTACAGCAGAAAAAAACATGTTTCTACCCATGGATGCAATAAATATTATTATGAATATAGTTAGATTCAACCTTCATGATTATGGATCTGTGAGTGAATTGCTTTCTAACACGACCCTTTTATTTATATTAGGTCTTTAAGTTTTTGCATAAATTAGGGCGTGGTCACATTGAGTGACGGCTCTGTGAAGTGACTGCTCCTGTTAGATTTTTGTCTCTCTGCTAGCTGCTCCGTGAAGCTACAGGGACTCTGCCTGTTCAGCTCATCCAGGGAACACAACTTGCTCCCGGCCGTGTTTGTTTGTTCTTCATGCTTATATATCGGACTATTGTTACTCGCTCTGTGGTTGAAACAGACGGTGTATGAATGCGGTTTTGCGGTAAGTGAAATTTGAGTGCTTATTTATGTGTTAATGATTTTAATCAGCTACGTAATTAATGTTACGGCTTGGGTTAGCGTGTAAGCGAGTGGTAGCTACATCGGAGCTAACGATGCTAATAGTAGCCTCCAAGTTAAAATCATAGACTATATTTATAAAGGTTAAAACGAAATAGAAAATTAAGCGTTAAGTGGGATAATACTGTACAACAAACGGCTTCTGTTTGAGGTTGATAAAATAAGGTCATCCTTGTAACTTAGAGAGATGATTATTATGTAGGTAGGAACTTTATGCATCGCTAAGGTTAATTTAAATTGACAATGCTCAAGTATGTAGACCAGCTAATGTCGAAGTAGTGTATGTGAAATCAACCTCACAACAAGATGTGTGTATATTACAATTATTAATGTCATATTTCAAGATGATTACTTAGATATTACAATATGGTTGGTTGAGCTGGAGTTCATTATTGAGCTTACACGTTAACATCACAGTCATCTGAAGAACAAACCCAAACCTTGTTGTTTTTATGAATTGCATTACCAAATTGGTAGTCAATAAACAGTAAGCATTGGTAACACAACTTCCAAAGTTACCAGTAGAGTAAAAAGGAACCCTGACTCGGACAATACACAATCCAACATGTTAAACAGAAGAGAATCAGTTATATTGTTTGTACACATGGTACTTTACATATACAGCACTGTCTCAAAAATTTCAATATTGTGATAAAGTTCTTTATTTTCTGTAATGCAATTTAAAAAAACAAAAATGTCATACATTCTG